CTGGTTCAACTTTATCAAATATTGATTCCAAATAGAAACCTGCATCCAGGCTTTTGTGTTCCAATAGTAATCAACTGAAAGCTTTGACTTGTCAACTCCAAGCATGTCTCTTGGCATTTGATACTTATGAATAAATAAAAGAGAAGTTTTTCAGTTCCTGTTGCATTCATGGTCAGTAAAAGGGTTATTCTTTTTTTCGATTTTTTAATACCAGAAAGAGGACCAGTTGACAATGTCTTTGAAGGTTCTAAATCCCATTGCAAGCCTAATAAAATAAATACTTAGTTAGTCTATTATAATAATAATTATACTGAATTATTTTACCAGTTTCATCACAATTATAAACATCTTCTAAAGGAAATTCCTTAATTATTTCTTGTAATCTTCTTCTTTCTTCAGAAGGTGCAGAGCTTGCTTCACCATGCATAACATACTGCTTTATGTTGTTTCTTTTCTTAAAATTTGACAACCAACCATCTGAACCTTTAAAATCATTGATATCTAGTAATTTGGCAAATATTTTAGCTTTAGTGAGAATTATATCACTTGTAATTACTCTTTTATCTGAAATTGCTTGATTGAACCATATCATCAATGCAATTTCAAGATCAGGATATTTTGCATCTTTATCTTTTTGTCTGTTGGTATCATTAGGGTTGATAGATAACCATTTATCTTTATCTTTTAAAATCTTGCAAACAGTAGGTTCTGCAATTCCAAATTTTTGGCCAAGTTCTTTATATGTGAATGATAGATTTCTTTCATTAAGTCAAAACTTTTCTTTTTTTATTTGATTGATCAATTGATGACATTTTTATTTTTTTTTTATTAAAATTTGAGAAAATAATTTTTAGCTGAAATGATTTTTTAATAAATAATTACAAACAAAAGTACAATTCCTAGTTCTTTTATTTGTAAGAAATTCAGTAAATAATTACAAGAAAATTATTTTTAAACTTTTTGCAACACATTACTAAATTCAATTACCTTATTTTTCGCGAGACATTACTACTTTATTTTTCGCGAGACATTACTAAATTCAATTATTTTTAAACTTTTTGCGACACATTACTAAATTCAATTACTTTATTTTTCGCGAGACATTACTAAATTAAATTATTTTATTTTTCGCGACACATTACTAAATTAAATTACTTATTTTTTTGCAAGATATTACTAAATTCAATTGCTTTATTTTTCGCGACACATTACTAAATTCAATTATTTTTCGCGACACATTGCTAAATTCAATTACTTTGTTTTTTCGCTACCAAATTCATATTAATATTAATATTAATGAAAAAATTTTTTTGCGACAAATTACTAAATTCAAATTTATTATTATTTAATACAATTAAGTAATGATCGACAAAATTTTATAAAGACTTTACTATATCGAGCTCTCTTTAAAATATCCTTTTTCCACATGATGGATGTTTATCATGCAATAATAATAAAATTTTTTTTTCTGGCAGAAGAGCTATTTAATTTCTACAATTGAATTCATTGTTACTTTATTTTATCATATATGCTACTAAGAATAACTTTTTGATGGTGGAGAAGCATCTTTCTTTTTTCGTTTAATATTTGGTCAGTGTGAATAAGATCATACTGTTGATTTGTTTATAAGAAAAGCATCATTCTATTATTAAAAAAATTTCACTATTATTATCATTTTGACTTGTTTTTTTTTGGTTTGTGTCATTGATTTTGTTATGCGTTTAGTTTGTTAATTGACAATTGAATTAATTACTAAAAATGCTAAAAATCATTTTACAATTTATGAATTATCATTTGTCCTGTTTATTTTTTGGATTATACCATTGATTTAAAAAAGTATTATGTGTTTAATTATTTGTTTGTTATGTTTATTACTAAAAATGCTAAAAAACATTCTTTATTATTATTATCATATGTCCTGTTTTTTTTGGATCATTGATTCATTTACTTTTAAGAAAAGCATTATGCATATACAATTGAATTGATTATTATTACTAAAAATAAAGCGTTGTGTGTTTAATTAAATTTACAATTGAATTGAATTGATTATTTGTTTATTACTAAAAATAATTTGATCATGTCTACACGTTGATTCTGCAAAGCTGAATTGCAAGCTTCGTAAATCTTGACTTTGACACTTACTTTGATCAAACCTACCTATATAGTTATCGAATAAATGATAAAATGTTCATTTTGCAAACTCGATTTGTAAGTTGATAGACCTTGACTTTAACACTTACTTCAATCAAACCCGCCTATATGATTATTTAATAGTTGATAAGTGTTCATTAAATATATTTTACAAACAGGTGCATAGATATTGATTTTAACACTTATTTCATCACTCCTATACAAAAATTGAATAATTGATAAAACATTCATTTGCAAAACTTGATTTGCAAACTTCTTAGATCTTGTATTTAATACTTACTTTGATTGCACCTATACAACTATTAAATAATTGACAAATGGGATGTCCACCAGCAAAAAGGGGGTCTGAGACTATTAAATTGTTCTGTGTTATTAACAAAACAAAATTGGTTACACGAATAGTTTTGATATGTAAAAGTAAATATTTCAAGTCTTGTATCTCATTATTGTACTAGGTAAACATGTTCTAAATTTTTCACCAACTATAATCCTTATGATATAGATATACATTATGCAAAAAACTCAATTTTGGCCAGGAGTTCTCAGACCCCCATATTGCTGGTGGACATCTCAAATGTCATCAGTATATTTTACAAACTTTTTTTGGGAGCTTTGTACGTTGTCATGCATCTTGTATTTAACATTTACTTCCACAAACTTGCAACCTATCGTCAACTCTACTTTTTCTATTGAATTATTTTGAATTTTGATTTTTTTAGATTATGCAGGATTACACAATAAAAATTATGGAATAGAATTTGCCCAATGAAATGTTGTAAACTGTATAATCCCAAGCGCAAATTGAAAAAAGTTGGTATATAAGACTCATTTTTCCATTACTAATACTCGTCTCAGGGTACAACCATGTGACTCACTTAAATGTGTTATTAAAGTCCAGCAGTGAGATAGTGAAACTCTTGCTGGTGGCTCATGCTGGGTGAGTGTATTGACCTTTTGTGACATGACCTCTCTCTTTTGTTAATTTTTATTTTAGATAAAATTCATTAATTGAATTGATAGGTTACATTAGTAATATATGATGATCCATAAATTATGAGAAAGCATTATTATTATAGCAACAAGTAGCAAACAACAATGATCATATTTTTTGAGGATGATA